GTGGCAGCCAGCCTCTCCCCAGACCGCCCAGAGATGCCAAAGCAGAACAGGTCCCCACCCTGCCAGGGGGGTGGGAGAAGATATACACATCCCTGTGGTCAGCCCCTCTGCACTGGTCAGGTAGGGGCTGCTGCTCTCCCGAGGTCAGGCTCTTGCAGGCCCAGGGGACAGGATGGGGGGGGCTCACTTCCGCCCCGTCCTGGCCTGGCCGGGAGCCTCCAGGAACTTGTCCCACTGTGTGGCTCCCGTCTCCTGGCACCTGGTCCTGTGCCGGGGGCTCCCCAGGGGCTGGAGCACCTATACCCCCACTCGGGCCCAGATGAGAGGCAGCTCGGGCTCCCTGACGCCCAGCAGCACACTCAGAACACCTTCAGGGTGGCCAGCTGGCCACAAGCGCACAGAGGAAGTACAGGTGCCCCTTCTGAGAGGGGGCACAGGCGGGGGGCCCAGGAGGGCGACAGAAGGGAAACACAAGCGTCACGGCCACAACTGCCATCACCAACCAACGTCCTGTTCTCACAAATTCAAGAGGTAGCAAAAGGTCAGAAGTCTCTCCACCTTGATGGGCAAGGAAGGAAGGAAACGCGACATGAGTCCACACGTACCGCGCACACCACACACACGGAGAAAATGGAAACGCGTACCAACGTCCTGGCACCGCGGCCAGCCTCCCCCCCCCCCCCACCAACCCCAGACCTTCCAGTTCCAACATTCACATACACATTACACGGGGTTTTCTCTTAATAAAAAACAAGTACCTCTAAACAAAGAATATTCCTCAGAAACTATGGGAAAAGCACTCTCTCTCCTGAGGCAGCCGAGGCAGGGCTCGGGGCCCAGGGAAGCCTTTGGCCAAGAAGGGCTTCTGGGGCCTGGAGGGTGGGCGCCCAGCCCACAGTCGGGCAGGGGGGGGTGGCTGCCCCGGTACATTCAGTCTGCAGACCCAGGCTCAGCCCCGAGGGGCCGGAAGGAAAATAAACTCTTGTTGGTTTTGGTTTAAAAAACAGAATTCAAAAAGAAAAAAGGAACAGATCAGTAGGAATAACAGCCACACAGGCCCAGAGGGCTCTTTAGTTGTGGAGAGGTAGGCGGTGGGGGCCCCTGACTGTCCCAGCACCAGTGAGCGGTGACCCCTGGCTCGAGGAGGGAGGGCGCTGTCCCCTCCCTCTGGCACCGCTCCCCGCAGAGCCAGGCTGGCAGCACAGACACCCCGGCCGCGGCAGCCCTGCTCCCCGCAGCATGGAGGGAGGCCCCCACTCCCCCTGCTCCAACACAGCCTGCGGGACACCCCCCGTGACCCACTCCCGCAGGCCCCGCCGTGGCCCTCACGGGGAACTGGGCCGGGCAGGATCAGGAGGCAGACGGCGCAGCAGCCACATGCACTCGGGTTGGGTGCTGGCTGCCCGCTTCTCCCCTTGGTACAGACTGTGGATTAAAGCTCTGGGGGGGGGGGGGCTGCACCAGGAACTGCCCCACACCTGGGGCCTGGCCACTGTGCCCCTGCTTTCCTGGGCGCCCGCAGGCCAACAAGGGTCTTTGGCTTCTAGGAGGGGGAGGTGTGCATGCGCAGGTGGCTGATGAGGTTGCGCTGCTGCGTAAACTTGCCCCCGCACAGCTGGCACTCATAGGGCTTCTCGCCCGAGTGCACGCGCATGTGCTCAGTGAGGCGGTACTGGCGGGTGAAGCGCATGCCGCACTCGTCACAGGCAAAGGGCTTCAGGCCCAGGTGGCTGCGCATGTGGCGCGTCATGGTGCCACGCTGCGTGAACATCTTGCCGCAGATGTTGCAGGGGAAGGGCCGCGTCAGCCAGTGAGTCTTCTCGTGCTGCCGCAGAGTGGCCGGGTCCTTGTAGGTCTTCTCGCAGACCGAGCACTTGAAGGGCCGGGGCTCGGCTGCGTAGGCCGCGCTGGGCGCTGACAGGTCCTCGGCCTCCTCCTCGGCGCCCCCGCTGCCTGTCTCATAGGCACCCTCCTCCTTGATGAAGAGCTCCTCCTCTGTGTGCGTCTCCACGTGCGCGTTGAGCTGCTCGGAGCTGGGGAAGCCCTTAGCGCAGGGGATGCACACATACAGGTTGTCCCCATAGGACACCGTCTCATAGCCCTCCTGCCGGTACATGTAGTGGGCGCCGGCATGGCCGCTGCCGCCCTCGCTCCCGCTTTGCCCACTGTCCTCACTCCCATCCTTGCCGTTCTCCTCCTCCTCCTTGCAGGGGTATGAGGGCTCCCCGTAGGGCCCGCCCGCCACCGCATTGCTGGCCAGGATGCCGTTGGGAACCCTGTCCCCAAGCCCTTCAGCCTCCTCCCCTGGGCAGGGACCCTTCGGCGCTGCTTCCCTCCGCTCAAAGGGGGAGGCAGCCACGGGCTCCTTCTTGGCCCACTCCTTCTTGCGGGCCGAGTGCCGGAGGCTCTTGCGGGGGGGCTGCCCGCCCGGCCCCTCCAATAGGCTCAGGGGGTTGTCCTCGGCCCCCTCCAGATCCATGGGCTCACTGGGGTTGCCCCCCAGCTCGGCGTAAGAGGCACTGTTGGCGACGGGAGGGGCGGAGGCCGAGAGGGGTGAGCCTTGCTGACTGTCACTCAGCTGGGCTGGGTCGTCGGGGGTGAGGGGGGGCCCGGGGGTGGCGGGGGGCAGCGGGGGGCTTTTCTTGGACAAGTCCAGGCCCAGCTCCTGCTCGCAGCCCCCACCACTGCCATTGGTGCTGCAGCCACCCAGGCCGGCCTCCCCGCTGGCTGGACAGACCGGCCGACCCAGGCCGTGCGCGCTCTCCTGGCTGGAGCCGCCCAGGAAGAGCTCCTCATCGGAGCCTTTGGCCTGGGGGAGCTCCTGGGGGGTGTGGGCCCCCTTGCGCCCGTCCACGAGCCCCGGATACCGGGCCTGGATGACAGAGGCCGTGGACAGCCGCTGGCCGCGGGGTGGCCGCCCCAGGCCGGCCCCACCCCGCCCGGAGCCAAAGGGTTTGCCAGCTCTCTTGAGTTTGCGCCGGCAGAGAGCTGCCAACTCGGGCAGCTGGAGGTAGCTGGCGGCGGTGAGGAGCGTGCTGAAGTTGGGCTCGGCTGGCTGGTCACTGGGCAGCAGCTTGCCGGTGTAGATGAAGTCCAGGATCTGCTGGAACACCGTGGAGCTGACCATGTCCGTGTCCAGGTTGATGAGGTTGTCGTGCAGGACCAGGGACTTGAAGTAGATGCTGCTGGCGGCCAGCACGTTCTTGTGGGCCCGGAAGATGGAGTTCTCCACCATGATGATGACGTCACACAGGAAGCCCTTGGTCCGCTGCTGGTTCAGCTGCAGCAGGAGCTGCTTCGAGTGGCTGGGCAGTTCCATGTCGGGCCCCATGTCCCCACGCCCTGCCCACACGCACCACCTGCGGGCAAGAACAGGTACGCGTGTGCATCAGCGGGGGACCCTCCTGGGGTCCGGCACCTGGGCAGGGAACTCACGCCACCCAGGCTGCCTGAGAAGGGGGGCGGCACCAGCCCATCTGCAGACTTGAAAACACAGAGAACAATGCACATGGTGGCAGGCAACGAAACTGGGATTTGAACTTGGCCCAAGGTATCATCTCCGCACTAAAGGAAGCCAACCACGTGCCCAGATGGGACCCAAAGGTCTTTGGCCCGTCTTTGGCCTCATAGACCCAAAGGCAGGGGTCTATAAGGTGCTGGGTGGCTGGACTTCTCACGTGGGCATGCAGCTTCCCAGCTTTCGAGACAAGCCAGAAATCCAGGTTTTCAGGTGAAATCACCCCATGCAAAATGAAGCTTCTTTTTCCTTAAATACCACGTGGGCCAGATCAAACATGCAGCCTCTGGTCTGCGACCTCTGCTCTAGGCTGGGTCTCTCTCCAACAACCCTAGAGGCTTCCCAAACTCTGAGGTTTACCAGCAACACGTGACACTGCAGCCCAGCTGCCACCCCCACCCCACAAGGCCTTGCCCCACCACAGGCACTGAGCACCCATCCCCCCTACCCCCTGCCTGGGCCTCCAGGTGCTGAGAAGAAAAGGCAGGCTGGCCAAGCCCTGGCACCGCTGGGCCCCAGGGACTTTCTGGGCAGGGCAGGCAGTGCTGTCTGAGCCTGGGAAACTCGCCAGACTGGCACAGATGCTAACTGATGTCACTGAGGAAAACACATGCAGAGGAATTCTGTGGTGGCTGCGTGGCAGTGTGCACAGGGGTCTCTGGGAGCAGCGTGCCCCAACCATGCACCCACCCCACTGGGCAGCAGGGTCACAGCGCACGGCCGTGGCTCCCCACCCCTCCAGCCACTCGAAGCTCGTGCCCTCCCAAAGGTGCTCTGAGCCGTGAGGCCGACAAGGGGCTTTCATGTCCTTCTGCTCACGGCCCAACCTCGGAGAGAAATTGACTGCTCTGAGCCTCCCCCACCTGGGATCAGCTCCTACCAGGCGCCCAGCCCTGCCTCCCTCAGGACAGAGCCCGGAGGGGTTGCACCCACCTGCCTTCCTCCCACTGGTCCGTACCTGCCCTTGTTTGCAAAGACAGAGGAAAACCCCCCATGATCCTGTGCACCCCAAGGAAGACTTTGAGCACCCAATGACCACGTGGGCCGGCACTCAGGGCCAGACAGCAGGAGGCAGCAAGCACCTCAGGCCAGCTCGGCCTTGTCAGGCTGTTCAGAAGCTGGAGCCCAGATCGCGCAGAAACCAGCCCTCCGCCACTCCCTGCCCCCAGAGCCAGCCAGGCAGGGACAAAGAGCCCAAGGCGCGGCCTCCACACTGGCCTAGACACCTAGCCCCAGCACCCAGGACAACTGGCAAGGGGACTAGCCGAGGGCAGGAGGTCCTGGCCTCCGAGAGCCAGTGAGTCCACAGCAGCCCTCCTCCCCAAGCCCCAGCCTCCCCTCTATGCTGCCAGCGCTGCCCGCACACAAAGGACTGCAGGCCAGGACACAGGCTGAGAGCTGCAGGCTGCCCAGAGTCCCAAGGAGGAGGAGCAAACATCCTCCCTCTGCCGCCCCCGCCCCCAGCTCCCCCTCCCTGACCTACCGGAGTGCCAGGGGCCCAGAAACCATGTGAGCAGCAGCCAGCGGGGGTGGCCTCCTTGAGCGCGTGGCCTCCCTGGGGGTGCATCAATGCCTGGTCACCTGGGGAAGGGAAGACAGACAGACATGGTCACCCACAAAGGCATCAGCAAGGGGAGGGGGGAGGTGCTGGGGGACCTCGCTCCCAGGAAGGTCTGGGGGTCTCTCTGGCTGGGACGCCCAGACAGCTGGGCAAGAGACAGTGGTCATAGTGCCCACAGTCAGTCCCCGTGGTAGGAAGAACGCAAATTTGGGGAGCTCGCCTGCACCCTCTTCCCACCCACCCCCACAGATTTAGGATACTGCAAGGGCTACCTAGATCTGGGGGAGCTGGTGGCAGGCACACAATTCCTGGAGGGCGGGCAGGCGTGGTGGCAGGAGGCCTGGGCAAGGCCCTTTCCAGGCTGGCCACATTTACATAACAAAAGGTCAAAATTGGAGGCGCTGGTGCAACGGGCTATTTATAAGAACCAGTCTCAACCGCTTCTGGCTCTCCTGCTCCTTTCCTTCCCTTCCCTCCGGGTCTGCTCTCCCCCCACCCCCACCCCCACCCCCCACCCCACCCCCGCCCAGAGCGCCCAGCCCCCTCCTGCCCAGCCCAGCCTGACCACATGGCGTTTGCAGGCTCGCCCTTTCAATACCAGCCCGCCAAGGCCACTGGCAGCTGCTGCCAGATGTGGGTGGGCTCCACCTGCCCCCCCCCCAGAGCTTTGGGTCCTGCGGGAGGGGGTCCTGAGGCTCCAGCTCCTTGTCCCCCACTCCAGCAGGCCTGGGCGCCCTTGGAATGGAGCCAGGGGTGGGGGAGGAGGCCTGCAGCAGCCCAGAGCCCATCCCTGCCTGCCCTTCCCCCGCCCCCAGGGCCAGGGAGGCTCAGCAGGTCCCTCAGGAATGTGACCAGACCCGGGGTGCAGGGTGGCCGGGAGGCCTCAGCTCCAGCCTGCCAGCTGTCTCTCGGCCCCAAGCACAGCTCCCCTCTTGCAGGGGTTGCTGGGGGGAGGGGGGCACGGTCAGCCCAGAGGGCAGGAGAACCAGCTCTGTAGGTCCAGCAGCCTGAGAGCGTCCACGTTTCCCCGAGGGCAGCCTGGGCCCCTCATCAGGCTCCCGGCCAAGAGAGGCCAGAGACGGAGCCAAACCCTGCCTGGGGAGGGGGGCGGAGACCACCGCAATGCCGCCGCCAGTGAGAGTGGCCCAGGAGAAAGGATGGGAAGCCACATCAGGAACCCCACCAGACCCAACGACAACCCAAGCCCCACCCGGGCACAATGCCCACCACCTCAGCCTGGGCCAGACCCTGCAACTGGGGCTTCCTCACCCTTGTTGGAGATCAGGTCGACCAGCCTGGTCACTGCAGCCTGGAAAAGGCCCAGCGACTGACCAAGTGACTGCCCTCGAGCCTGACCTACCCGCAGGGAGGCCCAGCAGGACCAGGCAGAGCAGGCTATGCCCTCCGCCAGGCAGGGGTGGGGTGGTGTCGCACAGAGCTGCCTGCTGGGAGTGCACATCCACCAGGAAGCTGCCCCGCCTGCCAGGCACCCCAGGCTGGGCCAAGAGTGGGTCTACATCGTGTCCATAAGCAAGGACACACCTCACCACAGGTGAGGGCCAAGACCCCTAGAAAGTGTTGCTCCTTCCCTCCCAGAGGCCTCTGCCCTCCGGCTCAACGGCGGGTGTGGGAGCAGCAAGTGCCCACCCTGGAGAGCCCACAGCAGCCAGGGAGAGAGGGCTACAAACACCACCGTGGGGCTGGCCAGGCAAGCTGGCAGCGGGATGCCCACTGGGTACGGGGCTGGTGCTCAGCCCTGGAAGGAGCCCACCATGGGCTGGAATGAGGCTGCCACCTGGCCCCAGCTCCTGGCACCCAGCAGCCACCTGGCAGCAGGCCCAGCAGCGTGCCAATCAGCCCCAAGGATCCCACGCCCAGCACAGCCACACTGCCCACCCGGAGCACTGGCTCCAGAATGCCCCGGATCTTGGGCAGTGGGACAGGTCAGTCAGATGGGTGCGTGGTTGTCCCCAGATGGGCTGACCCTGATCCCGGCAAGGAAGGGGGGGAGGGGGCAGCTCTGCTCTCTTGTGAACAGAGGGGCCTGGATCACCTTCCCAGGTCTCTGTTCACAGGACGGCCAGCACCCAGCTCCCCAACAGGGCTGCTACACGGTGACGTGAGACAGGTCCTGACTGAGATCTTATTTCCTCTTCTTCCCTCCAGGCTCAGGCCTCAGAAAAGCCAGGGAGGCTGGCCCCCGCCTGGCCCCGACCCCACACACACTGAGGACAGGTCCGGGGCCTACAGAGCACATGCCCAAGGCCAGGTCCCTACAGCTGCACAGGGATCCCAGGCAAGACAAGGCCCCACCCACGTCAGGTGGTCCACATGGGCTCAGGGCTCGTGGGGAGGTCTCCCCTCCTGGAACCCACAGAGGGCAGGAGGCCATGAGAGGAGGTCTCCACATGAAAGTGGCCCTTGTTTAAGCAGGAAGCCAAGGAAAATGGCTCCAACCCCAATTCCGACAGGAGCCAATCCAACTTAGCCTGGACACCCACTGAGCCCAGAGCCTGGGTGCCAGGAAGCCTGGGCCCTCAGCCTGCTCCATCCTTTAGCCTTCAGGTGGAACCCCCTGGGGAACAGGCAGGCAGCCCTGCCTCCCTGGAGCCTGGCGGCGGGCACCCCTCCCTTCTGGAGACAGAGGAGGGCATCCCATGCCTACCTCCAGCCCACAAGGGGGGCCCAAGCTCAGGGTGTGGTTTCACCCTTGGGCGATGCTCCCAGGAGACTGTGGGCCCCTCTCTGCAATGTCCTATCTCCCTTGGCAAGAAAGAGCACCCAAAGAACCCCCGCGCACCCTGGCTGAAATGACTCGCCCCGCCCAGCCAGGATGGAGGGTCCTGGAGAGAAGGGTGAAGACAGGAAAAAGGGGTCCCCACCCCTCTTTGGGCAGGCCTCGTCACCCAGGTCCCCGGGAACCCTGACCCCTCCTCCCTCCCCAGAGCACACTTTCCGCAGGAAGCCCAGAGCTATGCTGGGTCCCCCCCGGAAAAGTTCGCTCCCGGCCCAGCCCAAAGCACCCAATGGGAGGCTATTCTTGCTCCTTAACCACCTTCTGGCCAAAGAACAACAGCCAGAAATCACAGAAGAACACAGGACTCTTCCAGCTGACAGCGGCGTCGGAGGGGGGGGGGGGCTGCCCAGCACCCACCGAGGGCTCCACTGGCGGTGGGAGTCACAAGGACACCAGGCCACCGCCATACCCCTGGGGCTTAAGCACATCTGACCGTGTCATTGAGGGCCTCAGACACTCGTATCCACTGCCCCCCCAACTCTGGGCCCAGCCGACCCCTGCTGTGGCCACCTGGTGCTCCAGGTGTGGCCCCGACAGGTGCGAGCACTGCCCCTCCCTGCAGGCCAGGCCCCTCCCAGGCTGCAGGAGGGCAGCTGGAGGGCAGAGCGAGAAGGCCTGGAAGGTCCCAGCACCCAGGATCCAGAAGAGCCTAAGGCCCAGCCCCAGGTCCTCCTCACCCCATACCAGTTGGAGGGCACCCTGCCTGTGGGGAAGCCTCAGAGGTGTTCTCTCCACCTCCAGTGCCAGGTAAGAAGACAGGTTCTGGGGGTTAAGCAACTTGCCCAAGGTCACAGGAGCAAGCAGGTGGCAGAGCCTGACTCCAGACTTTCCTACCCTGAGGACAGACACCTGCACCTCCTTCTCCCAGGGGCAGGGCAGGGGAGCCAGGAGGAGGGCCTCGGCCTGCAGGTCCCCCTCATCTCCCCCTCCCACAGCCTACCTCACAGCAGGCCTCACCTGGGCTACACCACCCAGGGGCAGGCCTACTCTTGGGGACCCAGGCTGTGCCCTCTCTGGCCTGCCCCTCCAGACATGGGTTGGCTGTGGGTGGGACCCACTGCTCTGGGCGAGTCCAGCGGGTAATCTGGCCCAGACCTGGATGCCGGCCAGCAGCTCCTGGCTCGTCTCCCAGACCATCCTCCTGGAAAGCAACGGGCTCCACGAATGCCAAGAGCCCTGCCCTCCTTCGGACAAGACTTCTACGAAATTAACAACTCAGTTCCATCAGCACGCTGGTGACGTGGTGATCGGGGCCTGGGGCTGGGCTTCTCCCTCAGGTCCCTGAGCAGTGCGGGAGGTGGCATCCATCCACCCCAGCACGACCTCCCTGAGTCTGCCCCCAAATGCCTGCAGCCCCACCTTCCCACATGTGCACTCCCACCCAAGAGGCTCATGGCACCACGAGGGGAGGCCTGGCGGGGCCACAACCACAAACCCCACTCTCCAGGGCTCCAGGGCGAGCCTTGCACACTCACCTCACCCCTGGCCTACAACCCGCCCGTTACTCCCACTCCCAGGACGACCCGGGTACCTGCAGCTGGATTTCCCCTGCTGGCACTGGCACAGCTAGCTGGCTGGCACCGGGGAGGGTGCGGGGCAGGGTCACACTGGGAGGCCCCCAGCCTGCCTGAGTCTGGCCAAGAGTGTTGAGCCAGTGAGACAGGGGGTGAACTGGGGAGAGGCAGGTGAGAGTTGCCTGGAGCACAGTCACCATTATGAAAACTTCCAGACTGTGCCCACACTGCACTGCCCCCCATCCCCACCTGAAGGGGCCTGAGCTCTAGGTAAGAGGCTTGCTTGCAGCAAAAGAACTAGAGCCTGGAGGCAGGGAGCTGGTGGGGCGGCACGGCCAACTGGGAGCATCCCGATCAGGCAAGGAGCAAGGAGCTCCTGCTGCAGGGAGACAGGCCCTGGCAAGCTGGCTCCTGCGCCCCCAGCCCCACTTCCTAACTTGTCCTGCTGGGTGTCCAGCACAGTCCAGGGACCAGTGGCAGCATCGCCCAGGGTTTTTGTTTCTTCTTTTAGTTGTTTTTTTTTTTTTAATATTTATTTGGCCGTGGCATGTGGGATCTTTGTTCCCCAACCAGGGATCAAACCTGCGCCCCTTGCACTGGAAGCACGGAGTCTTAACCGCTGGACCACCAGGGAAGGCCCTAGCCCAGGGTTTTGAGAAATGCAGACAGTCTGGC